ATGCTCCTGGGTGCTGTACCTTAGTTTTAGAGGGAGTTACTAGGAGGGGGCATTCACTTTATAAAAATCTATGAAGCTCAGTGTCTGCCAGTGCACACTCTGCAGGTTCATTATTTGTCCTTGATCTTGTCAACCTGAAATAATCAAAAGGCTCAGAGTTCCATTTTAAAGAGTTCTTGAAGAAAAAAGCTGGGGATGGCCATACCAGGACGAACATACTCCAGAGAAATGGGGTCAGTGCTCCAAAGTTAAAAACAACATTACTGCTTATATAGGAAGCAGATAGAAAAGTTCGACAGCATTACATTGTCTATACAAGGCTGGTTTATGAGTTACAACAAACTGATTAGTTATAGTTTGGCCTTTTTTCTGTGTGGTTTGTTTTCTTTATAGCTGGTTTTCATTTTACTTCCAATTTAAAAGAGTGTATTTAGCATTCTATCTTAACGCAATGTGATACCCATGAAGTTTTGGGTGAGAAAGGTAAGAGAAAAGTTAATCTACAATGAAAATCAGCAGCAGAGAGAAAAGGGATCTTCCTGGTGGCCTTTGGTCATCTACAATGTTTTATAAAACAATGAAGATAATAGAAAGACTTAAATTTGTAATCAGAGGAACAAAAGTTTGCAGCTGCATAGGTAACAGCTGTCTGTCACATGACTCAGGCCCCATAATCAAAAGAATTTAGAGTTTTAACAGCTGGATTTTGAATTACTTACTTCCACAGCCTCTTTCTGCTCACCTGTCCAGGTGAGATTCCAATCTCTAGGACTCAACATTTTCATCTGTAAAGGGGAGGGTAACTTTCAAATGAAGTGATTAATTGACCTTCCTGGAAATGCTGAGAGACTGGGGAGTGAGGGAAGCGAGGCTGTCACAGCCAGGGCCTTCTGAGGAGAGAATCAGCCACTGAAAGGGGTGGGAGATAGGAAGAGGAGAGGGTCAGGCCAGGAGTGGTAAGAGTTGGAGAGGGGAAGAAGAGAGCATTAGCCCCACTGGGGGAAGGGAGAAAGAGAGTGGGTGAGAGGAAGAAGAGAAGGTGAGCCCCACTGCAGGGAAGTGGACATGGGGAGGAATGTAATTGCCTGACGGATTCTTCCTGCCTGCCGCTCAGATAAAATCAATTGACTGAGACAGTGGTACTGCAGTAGAGAAAGGCTTTAATAATCACAGAGCTATCCAAACAGAAAGGCAGGAGTAATTACTCAAGTCAACCTCCTGGAGAAATTAGAGGCTAGGAATTTTATGGATAATTTGGTGGGCAGGGGGTTAGGGAATAGGTACTGCTGATTGGTTGGGGATGAAATCATAGGGGTGTAGAAAACCTGTCATTGTGCCCTAAGCCAGCCCCTGGGTGGGGGTCATAGGACCAGCGAAGTCATGAGTCATGGATTCAAGTACAGTCAGTTGGCCACCATAATGCAAAAGTCTGAAAAACATCTCAAAAGACCAATCTTACTTTCTAGAAGAGCAATCAGAAAAGTCACCAATCTTGTGACCTCTGGCCACACGACTGCTGAGCAGTACAGGATGAGGGAAAAGTGAGCTAGGAAACAATGGCTGGTCATCATTTAACTCTGCCTTCATTTTAGTAGAATTCAGGCTGATCCAATAATCCTAATATTATGGCCTTCCATTAGTCTTACAAAAGTGGTTTCGGTCCCCAAACAAGAAGGGGGTCAGTTTTAGGGAGAAACTATTCTCATCCTTGCTTCAAAGTTAAACTATAAATGAAATTCCTTCCATGGTTAAACTATAAATGAAATTCCTTCCAAAGTTAAACCATAAATTAAATTCCTTCCTTGCTTCAAAGTTAAACTGCAAATTAAATTCCTTCCATTTAACTATAAATTAAATTCCTTCCACTATGCCCAGGAGTGAGTGAGGAGAGCCAGTCTGTGAGACTAGAAGCAAGGTGGAGTTTGCCATGCTAGCCTTCTTTCTCTGCCATAATCTGCAAAGGCAGTTTCAGGAGGAGAGGGTTGGCCCCACTGAGGGGATGCAGGAAGGTGCTTCTTCCATGCTTCCTTTCTTGCTTCCTGGTGTCTGGGTAGAAAATGACAACTGGAGCCACCACTTTGGACCCAGGAATGGAATTCCATGATGTAGGTGGGTGAGCCTGCCCTATACCACTCACTCCCATTTAGATGATTATGTGTGAGAGAAAATAAAACCTTCTATTTTATACAAAAAGGCATGGGGACTGTTCTAGAATAAAAGAAACATACTGATCATCAGTTGCAATCCAAGAATCTTGATTGAATCCCAGTATATATAAGCAAACCCATAATAGAAGCCTTGGGGAACATGATGGAAATGTGAGCATGGCCTGGTCTTGAACGATATTAGAGAATGACTAAAGAGCCAGTGGACTTAATTTCCTTAAGATAATGATATGGAGATGATGAACTAATGTCCTTATTTTTAGGCAATGCATTTTGAAGTGCCCTGGGATGAAGTTTCACTGTGTGTATAACTTTCATGGAATTGGTTCAGTCAAGGAAAACTCTTTCCACTTTTCGGTATGTTTGAAAGTTTTTGGCCAGACGCAGTGGCTCAAGCTGTAATCTCAGCAATTTGGGAGGCCAAGGTGGACCAATCACCTGAGGTCAGGAGTTCAAGACCAGCCTGGCCAACATAGGGAAATCCCCTCTCTACTGAAAAAAAAAAAAAAGATTAGCCAGGTGTGGTGGCAGGTGCCAGTAATCCCAGCTACTCAGGAGGCAGGAGAATCTCTTGAATCCGGGAGGTAGAGGTTGCAGTGAGCCAAGATCGCACCACTGTACTCCAGCCTGGGTGATGGGCCAAGCCTCCGCCTCAAAAAAAAAAAAGTCTTTATGTCAAAGATTAGGAAAGGGAAGAGGGAGGGAAGAAAGGAAAGAACCTGCCTAAGGAATCAGATCAGAAGTACCCTTGGCTACCAGTAGAAGCCTAAATACTCTCTGTGGGAAAGCATCCAAAATTTAGGCCCCCACTTCTCCACAGATAAAGATAAACAAACTAGGCCCAAGTTCCTACTCAGAGATGAACAAAGAGATAAGGCAACAAACTACTGAGAGTGACAGCCAGCAGAAAAATAAACGATAGATATACATCTTCAAAGACCCCAGATGTTGTAATTATCAGATACAGAGTAAGGTCAGGAGTTCAAGACCAGTCTGGTCAACATGGTGAAACAATTTAGAGAGAAACAAATTTATATGTTTCTCTCTAAAAATACAAAAATTAGCCAGGTTGGTGGCAGGTGCCTGTAATCCCAGCTACTCAGAAGGCTGAGGTGGAAATGGAGGTTGCAGTAAGCAAAGATCATGCCATTGCACTCCAGCCTGGGTGACAGAGCACAACACTGTCTCAAAAAAAAAAAGATAATGGTGAATCACATTTTAAGGAACTGAAGGTGTAGTTACAAAAGCGAGCCACCAGTAGAAAATGTAGTAAAAAGGAGATCATAAGAGTAGCCAGAAGAGAAAGACCTGTCACCTATGCAAGAACAACAGGTGAACTGAGAACAAACTTTTCGACAGCAACAAAGAGAAGTATAAACACATGGATTATCATTTCAAAGAACTGGAAAAACAATACCTCTCAACCTAGAATTGTGTAATTTTCAGAATAAATTATATAAAAGATAATAAAGACATTCCAAGAAAATCAAAGACCAAAAGAATTGCACCAAAATATTGCACTACAATAATTAAACTTCTAAAGAAGTACTTCAGGAAGAAAATAAAATGAACCAAGAAAGATGATCAGTATCGTACAGTGAACTGAAAGATAAATACCAGGACTACAAACAAAATTAAGCAATATATTATTTGCAAGAGCTCTACAGATAATAACACACACAAGTTACAAATCAAGAAACAGGAAAGCAATGTAAACACTGGTCAAAGAATGCTGGCAGGCAATGTTAGTATAAGGCAAAATCAACTTTAATAATAAAAGCATTATTAATACAGAAATTCAAAACACAATGACCAAAGCTTCAATTTGCCAGGAAGATATAATTCTAAACTTGCACACTAAGAATGAACAGCATGTCTATAAAGTAAGAATTGTTAGAACTACAAGGAGAAATTGACAAACATATCATTAGAGTGGTATATTTCAATCCACCTCTCTTAATTACTAATAGATAAAGCTGACAAACAAATTAATAAAGATAATGGAGTTTTGAACGACACTGTTAACAGATTTATGCATTGTGCATAGAGAGCTGTGTTGTACACAATTAGAGAATACACTTTCTTGTAGGCACATATGCAATATTTACAAAAATGTAATATTACCTCACAAAGCAAACCTCAAAAGTCTCGAAGACTCAGATTCCGACAGACCAGTTATCTGGTCACAATAAAATTAAAATGTATTTTGTTAAAAAATTGCTGAGATGTTCCTATATATGTATAATTTTTAAACATATTTCTAAATAAATCATGACTCAAAATGACATAACAGAAAAATCATAAATACTTAACACTGAGCAAAAATAAATGGAAAATATCAAAACTTAAGAGATGCAATGGAAAAAGTGCTTAATAAGAAATTTATAGTCTCCGATACATAAATAAGAAGAAAGATGGCCCCTTTCCGTGTTTTCTTCTAGTAGTTTTATGGTTTCAGGTTTTGTGTTTAAGTCTTTAATCCATTTTGAGTTGATGTGTGCATATGGCATAAGATAACGGTCCAGTTTCACTCTTTTGCTTGTGTATCCAGTTCTTTGGCACCATTTATTAAACAGACTGTCCTTTACTCATTGTATATTCTTGACACTTTTGTCAAAAAATTTGTTGACTGTATTCATGGGTTTATTTCTGGGTTTTCTATTCTTTTACATTGGTCTACGTGTCTTATTTGTGCCATTACTATGCTTTTTAAAAAAGTCTATTGTAGGTTCAGAGCTATATGTGCAGGTTTGTTATATAGGTAAATTGTGTGTCACAGGGGTTTGGTGTACAGATTATTTTGCCACCCAGGTAATAAGCATAGTACCTGAAAAGTAATTTTTCTATCCTAACCCTCCTACCACCTTCTACCCTCAAGTAGATCCCAGTGCCTGTTGTTACCTTCTTTGTGCCTATGTGTATTCAATGTTTAGTTCCCACTTATAAGTGAGAAGACGTAAGTGAGAAGGCATGTAAGTATTTGGTTTTCTGTTCCTACATTTATTCACATAGGATAATGGCCTTCAGCTCAATCCATGTCCTTGAAAAGGACATGAATTATCTCATTCTTTTTTATGGCTCTGGCTCCATAGTATTCCATGGTGTATGTGTATCACATTTTCTTTATCCAGTCTACCACTGATGGGCATTTAGGTTGATTCCATGTCTGCTATTGTGAATAACACTGATAAACATATACACATATACATCTTTATGGTAGAATGATTTACATTTCTTTGGGTATATACCCAGTCATTGGTATATTGTAATTCTGTTCTAAGTTCTTTGAGAAATCACCAAGCTGCTTTCTACAATGGTTGAACTTTCCGCAATGGTTTACATTCCCACCAGCAGCATATAAGCACTCCCTTTTCTCTGCAACCTAACCAGCATCTGTTATTTTTTAATTTAATAATGCCATTCTGACTGGTGTGAGATGGTCTGTCATTGTGGTTTTGATTGCATTTCTCCAATGATTACTGGTGTTCAGTGTTTTTTCACATGTTTTTTCTCCATTGGTTAATACCTAATAAACCCATAAGTATTAACTTACATAATCACAACGTTCCATAATAGGATGTCTGCAAACTTGAGGAGCAAGGAGAGCCAGTCCAAGTCTCAAAACTGAAGAACTTGGGGTACAATGTTTGAGAGCAGGAAGTATCCAGCATGGGAGAAAGATGTAGTCTGGGAGGTTAGGCCACTGTCGCCTTTTCACATTTTCTGCCTTCTCTATATTTACTGGCAACTGATTAGATTGTGCCCACCAGATTAAGGGTGGGTCTGCTTTCCCCAACCCACTGACTCAAATGTTAATCTCCTTTGGCAACAGTCTCACAGACACACCTGGGATCAATACTTTGCATCCTTCAATCAAGTTGACACTCAGTATTAACCATCACAAGTCCATCCCTTGTCAACTTGAACTCATATGTATCTCCTGAGATCACATATAATCTTCAAATAAAGACAATAATAAGGTCATAATTACCCCTAACATAATACAACTATCACAACTATCCTTTGTACAACCAGAAATGCACCAATCCCCTGCCCAAATACTATTACATAAGGTTAACAATACTTAAATGCTGATATGAAGTCAATAAATCTTATGTTGCATGATAAAGTAAAAGGAAATAAAATGAAGATATTTTGATAGTACAAGTGTATACATGCACAAATATGTTTTTAACAAAAGAAGGAGGAAATACCCATGACTCTCAGCTTGAGCAGTTGATGTATTGAAATGCTACTGATTTTTGTACATTGATTTTGTATCCTGAAACTTTGCTGAAGTTGTTTCATCAGATCTAGGAGCTTTTGGGCAGAGTCTATGAGGTTTTCTTCACATAGAATCATATCATCTGCAAACAGGTAGTTTGATTTCCTCTCCTTCCATTTAGATGTCTTTTATTTATTTGTCTTGTCTGGTTACTCTGGCAAGGACTTTCAGTACTATGTTGAATCGGAGTGGGGAAAGAAAGCATCCTTGTCTTGTGCAGTTCTCAAGCGGAATGCTTCCAGCTTTTCCCATTAAGTATGATGTTGGCTATGAGTTTATCACAGATGGCTCTTATGATTTTGAGTTATGTTCCTTCAGTGACTAGTTTTTTGAGGGCATTTACCATAAAGTGACATTAAATTTTATCAAAAACCTTTCTACACCTATCCAGATGATTATGTGGTTTCTGGTTTTAATTCTGTTCATGTGATGAATCACATTCATTTATTTAATATTGAATGCAACCTTGCATCCCAGAGTTAAGGCCTACTTGACTATGGTAGATTTGCTTTTTGATGTGCTGCTGGATTCAGTTTGCTAGTATTTTGTTGAGGATTTTCGCATCTATGGTCATCAAGGATATTGGCCTGAAGATTTTTGTGTGTGGCTCTCCAGGTTTTGGTATCAGGATAATGCTGGCCTCATAGAATGAGTTAGGGAGACGTCCCTTCTCAATTTTCTTGGAGTGGTAATCACAAGTCCACTCCTTGTCAGAAGTCCATCACAAGTCCACCCCTTGTCAACTTGCACCCATACACATCTCCTGAGATCATACATAATCTTCAAATAAAGACAATAATAAGGTCATAAATACACCTAACATAATACAACTATCACAACTATCCTTTGTACAACAGAAATGCACCAATCCCCTGCCCAAATACTATTACATAAGGTTAACAATACTTACTGTTTGTGTCTTTGCCAGGTTTTGGTATCAGGATAATGCTGGCCTCATAGAATGAGCTAGGGAGGGGTCCCTCCTCCTCAATTTTCTTGGAGTTGTTTCAGTAGTAATCACCCATATGAAGAGTATAAACTCTTCTTTATACACCTAGTAGAACTTAGTTATGAATCTGTCTGGTCCTGGGCTTTTTCTGGTTGGTAGGCTTTTTATTACTGATTCAATTTTTAATCTAGTTATCAGTCTGTTCAACCATTCAATTTCTTCATGGTTCAATCTTGGGAGGTCTTATGTTTCCAGGTATTATCCATTTCTTCCAGGTTTTCTAGTTTGTGCGCATGCAGTTGTTCCAAGTATTCTCTGAGGGTTTTTGTATTTCTGTGGGGTTGGTGGTAATGGCCTCTTTGCGATTGCTGATTGTGTTTATTTGAATCTTCTCTCTTTTTTTATTAGTCTAGTTAGCAGTCTATCCATCTTATTTCTCCTTTTAAAGAATCAATTCTTGGATTTGTTTATTTTTTAAATGGTTTTCTGCATCTCACTTTTTTTCATTTCAGCTCTGATTTTGGATATTTCTTATATTCTACTAGCTTTGGGGTTTATTTGCTCTTGTTTCTCTAGTTCCTCCATGTGTGATGATAAGCTGTTAATTTTAGATCTTTCTAACTTTTTGATTTGGGTGTTTAGGGCTACAAACTTCCCTCTTAACATTGCATTGTCTGTGTCCCAGAGATTCTGGCATGCTATATCTTTGTTCTTGTTAGTATCAAAGAATTTCTTGATTTCTGCTTAATTGAATTGTTTATCCCAAAGTTATTTAAGAGCAGGTTTTTCAACTACCATGTAACTGTATGGTTTTGAGAGATTTTCTTAGTATTTATTTCTAATTTTCTTGTACTATTATTTGAGAGTGTGGTGGGTATGATTTGGGGTTTTAAAAAAAAATTATGAGGATTGCGGCTAACTATATATTAGGTAGCACACACACATTAAAAAAACTTTTTCTACAAGATCAGGAACCTAATAAACATGGAATTCAGTATGGCAATGGCTCTCGTTCAGAAGCAGGATTTTAGATTGGAGGAACGGAACATTAGGAATGATTCATTGCTTGAGCTGGGCATTATTTCAAAACATTTTTTACTTTTAATGTTTTTATGCTTAAACTTGTTTTGTATCAATTAAATGTTATGTAATGAAAATGTTTAAAAATGAAGCTGTAATGTGCTGCTTTGACAGAAAGTTCGCCGATATGACAGCAAAGGCTACCCAAGCATGGAGTGCCCAGGTCCACACTCCCTGGGATGTTTTGAGGAGATGGAGGTATAACTGAGGCAGAACCTGAGCCTCACTCCTCAAATGGTTCTGAGGACCCACAGAGACACTACTGGGCTTGTTACCGGAAAGAGATCCCCATCCAGACCCCAAAAGAGGGTTCTTGGATCTAGTGCAAGAAAGAATTCTGGGTGAGTCCATAAAGTGAAAGCAAGTTTATTAAGAAAGTAAAGGAATAACGAATGGCTACTTCATAAGCAGAGCCACCCGAGGGCTGCTGGTTGCCTATTTTTATGGTTATTTATTGATTATATGCTAAATAGGGGTGGATTATTCATGAGTTTTAGAAAAGGGCTGCACGATTCCTGGAACTGAGGGTTCCTCCCTTTTTAGACCATATAGGGTAACTTCCTGATGTTTTCATGGCATTTTTAAACTTTAATGGTGCCGGTGGAAGTGTCTTTTAGCATGCTAATGGATTATAATTAGCTTATAATGAGCAGTGAGGATGACAAGAGGTCACTTTCGTCACCACCTCAGTTTTGGCGGGTTTTGGCCAGCTTCTTTACCACAGTCTGTTTTATCAGCAAGGTCTTTATGACCTGTATCTTGTGCCAACCCCTGTCTAATCCTGTGACTTAGAATGCCTAACCTCCTGGGAATGCAGCCCAGTAGGTCTCAGCCTTATTTTAATCAGCCCCTATTCAAGATAGAGTTGCTGTGGTTTAAACACCTCTGACAGGCTGAGCCATCACCCAGCCAAACCCTGTGGCAGGTCACCAATCACAGGCTGGGGTGGGGATGGATGGGATGATCTGCAATGTCAGACCCCAGGATTCAGTGATGTTCTGATTCAAAATCTGGGCAACTCTAGTTTCTTAAAGAACTGACAGGTTGGCATGACCCTGTTTTTACAGACAAAAAAACTGAGCTGCAGAGAAGTTTAGGCTGTCATTCACAGAGTGAACCTGTTCTGTGAAGGCCTCAAGAGAGCCTTAAACTATTTTTGTATGTGTATATCATGTATGTTTATGTACCTGTGTGTATATGTGACTGTGTATATGTAATATGCATGTGTAGTTATGTGAGTGTATGCGTATATGTATGTAAGTCTATTATGTACGGCTGTATATTATGTATGTATGTATTTTGCTGAATCACAGAACCAAGAATATTATCTCCAATTTTTTATTGTAATTGAGAGTGCTTCTCAAATGTGAGCCAGCATCAGAATCATCTTACCTAGAGAGCTCGCAAAAAATTGGATTGCTTCCCACCCCTTTGCAATGTTTCTTTTTCAGTCTGTCTGGGGTGGAGCCAGAGAATATGCATTTTAAATGATTTCCCAGATGATATGATGCTATGGTCCAGGTAACCCACCTTAAGAATCCCACTATATTTGTTACAAACTTTCTGCCTAAAGAATCTTACCTGTTTCCTCACTCTGTTTATAAGATTAGAAGAACTAAAATCTAATTGAAGA